CTGCAATACGGGCTAAAGGCTAGTGGTGCCAACTCTGTTAATATCCTGTTATCATTTACTTGCAGACTCTGTGTGTGTGTGTCTTAGTGCTGGACGATAATTCGATAACAATATATATCGATCGATAGACGTGTGGTGCGATAGAAAAAAAACGGGTCGATAAAAAGTTCGATAGAAAAACACAGTTTCCCTTTCTTTTTCATCATAGCCTATCATGTAGCTTTTACTACAGTCATTACTTCCTCCCAACCAATCACAAACGCAGACCCAGGTACGCTACGGCACCAAGCCCAGCCCCTCTCAAACCACAACAGACAGCACGTGTATTAGAAAAAATGTTACAGCAAGGAGAAGCGGAGGAAATTGTCCCGAAAAAAGGTTTCAGTAGTTCACCAGCATGGCAATGTTTTGGTTTTTACAAGTCTGACAAAAAGCGAACAGCGGTCGTTTGCAAAATTTGCAGAGAATTAGTAAAAACCAAGTCTGGTAACACAACCAACTTGTTCTACCATCTAAACCGATCGCACCCGCAGGAGTATGAGCTGTGTCGGCCGCGCCGCGGCTCCACGTCGTCGGAGGAGGAATCCTCTGGAACCGCTGCCAGCACCAGCACAAAGCATGTGAAGCAGACCAAACTGGACTTCGTTTCTTGCCAAAATACGACAAAGCGTCCAAATAAAGCGGCATAAGGACATCACCCATGCAGTAACATGCTTCATAGCGAGGGACATACTGCCAATAATTACCGTTGAAAAGCCTGGCTTCGACCAGCTTCTAGCCACTCTCGACCCGCGATATGAAGTGCCCGGCCGCAAGTATTTCTCAAACACAGCGCTTCAGGCATGAAAACGGGTCAGGGTTGAAAAGCTGAGAAGGGTGCGGAGGAAATACGTTCCGGTGTTGTGCTGTAGAATGCACCCCTGCATCCCGTCCACTCATTAGCTTCTTAAAGTGGAAGAAAATGAGCTCATACGCGAGTATTTGGATCATGGCTACTAGCAGGGGGTGCGTTCGGCAGGGGTGCATTCTACGACACAACACCGGCGTGGATAAATCCTGCTTCTCGTGCTCAGTTTGCGTATTAAGTCAATCATATGATAATTAAAAAAAAGAAATCTCCCGACCCCGGGAGACACCAGGCTGTGGGCAGTTTCCCACACAGTTAAAACTGGTAGTATGCTATTCCCACCTAAAGCTATTCTGTTTATTTATATATTTGTTTGTTTTGTTTATTTTCATTAAAAGACTATTTAAATATTTATTTATCAGATTTTCTGGTCACTTTAGTCTTTATGTTTGTCAGTATTTACTGACGTCACTCAGGCCACTTAAATTGATTTCTTTTTTTTTTTTTAAGTTCTTTTTTAAAAAACTTTCAGTTGTGGTAAAAAAATAAATAAAAAGGTGGTTGAATAAAGGTTTGAATTTGATTTTAGTGCTTGTGTGTTCTTTATTAAAAGTAGGTCATTAAGCAATAGCATAAAACATCCAGGGCTGCAATTAAAATATATGTTAAATAATTATAATAATTATATCGATAATTATCGATATCGATCAATATGATTTATTTTTTATCGATATGCTTTTTTGCAGACTCTGTGTGTGTGTGTCTACTCACGTCAGATATACTGTGCTTAATTTTGGCTGTTTTCTGTTTTTTTTTTTTACCTTTTACTCAGTAAGTCAGGTTTAAGTTTCTGTTCAATCATTTGGAAAGTAGTCGCCACAGAGCATCCTTACTTGAAAAATTTGGTGGTGCAAGAAAACTATCAGCAAAGTTTTGAGAATTACTCCTATTGTGACCAAATAATGAGAGATACCAACAAATATCAGCCTGAGGAAAAGTCCAGGTACCATCACAGTCATTTGGGTAGATCCTCAGGAGATCATCAGTGCTGATGCAAAACTGCACTGCACTGCACTTTATCCATAAGATGTCATATTCTTATCCAGAGTGATTCCAACTGGCCTGCGGACATAAGCTACAATTTGCAGTTTTGTGATAACAGCAGTACATTTTGCAAGCTGTTAATTTGCACTGGCGACTTTGAATGTCCTCAAACATCCATGGAGAAGCTTGTCAGGACATTTTGTTTATTTTTGCCGCTTGTCCAAAGTTAATAATTGTCTCACTTGTTTGAACCATCTGTCTTTATTTACAACACCAGTGTGACTGATTTCTGAGTCTGGATCTCTTACAGACTGTGATCATTTTTCTACCCACACTGTGTCTGGCCGAGTTGTGACGAGAACGGTCGGCTAATGTCTCCTCTGTGTTTGCCGTGCTTTGCTGTGTATTTGTGTATGATAAATTCTAATACATTTGTTCTTAGTGGCCCGCCTAATGGAGGAGCCTGGCTGAATATGAAAGTCTGTCAACACCGCAGCAGAAAACATCCCTCATCTCTGTTGCGGACTGTCTTTGCCAATCCCCCATTTGCAACATCTGCTGTGCTTTGCTTTCTCTTGTGAACCCACTCACACAACACACAACCCTCACTATCACTTCTCTGTGGCAGTCATTTTTTTCTTTTGAGCAGGAGAAGGGCAATTGCCATCATGAACCTGTCGTCACTTGAAGCAGACAAAAGGGTTTTCTGGCTCTGGGGCTTTCAAAGACAAACATTGTGTTGTCTGCACACTGTGTAGGGTCACAGGAGGCAAACAAATTAGCATCTCTACGAATGAAAGAAGTGTTGTCGTAAATTGTTCCAACCCGTTTTTCCCTCCAAAGTTTGACTAACAATGCCACAACCTTAAACCGTGTCGTCCAGGGTTACCAAGGTTTCCTTTTTTTTCATTTAATACACAGTGCCAATGAGACCTGAAATGTGTGTATGTGGAAAAGGTTGGCTGGGTTTATTATTCAAACCTGTATCAACTTCTCATTAAATAAAGAAATACATAAACTTTATTCAAATCCAGCTTGCATTCTGTAAAAATACAGTATTGTACAGAATAGTCTATGGAGTCTTGTGCTTTAATAAGTGCTCCTTCAGCTTGACTGCAACTTTGTCATTAGAGTGAGGATTATCAGTGAAATGCAACATTGAATTCACCAAGGTTTTAAGAGGTTAACTGATTGCGAAATACCAGTTAAGACCAAAGAATGTAAGAAATGAAAAGGAGAAAATTCCTGTCTTAAAAATCATTTTTAGGTAGAGGTCTCTTATTAATGCTGTGAATACTTTAGCGGTGCTCTATTGGAGGCTCGTGTTTGATGCAGGGCCAGAAACCCATTTTTTTAAATTATGCGTGGCATGAACAACATCAGCGCATCATGCTTTGCGAGAGGTTTGTTAACCTAAAAATGCACGCTGTTTAACCCAGAAGGTTTTCCACTGATTAGCTGTTAGTCAACTTTGTATTTATTTGTACTCATGAAGAAACTCTGCGATCGATTTATGAATGACCACTTTTCCAGTAAAATGCATCATTTTAGATTAACTGATTTTCGTTCGCATTGACCGATAAGCTTATTGTGACTTATGGTTAAGATCTGGAACGGCTGCACTCTGCTCTAGAATGGAAGGCAGATCAAATACGCAAGCATTATAATTAATGTGCAACAATCCATCCGCCAGATACACAAGGCTTCTATTTTTGCCGGACGCCGCAGCATAACGCAGCACGAGCAGCAGCGAAAGTTGTATGCGGCTACAGAGCAAAATATCGGGTTTATTTTCAAAATAAAATAAAGTCAATACACTGAACTGTTCTTCAAGTGTTAATAGGAGAGGCCAGGGTTGTGGGATGTGGGTGTTTGTGTACACTGTCGATCTCATTCGATGTCTCACAGTGAAACAAGCGTTATCTCCTGAGATCTCGACCAGTCTCGCGAGAAATATCGGTAATATCGCAGGTGCTTCACCTCCGCTTGCTGCAGCGGATCGGATCTGGTGGGCGCTGTATGCTGATCCCCCATCAGGATGACGACTTCAAACGATTTTTACAATTCATATTTCATGTTGGGATAAACACTGATTAAAAAAAAAACACGGAAGTAGGGATTTCTGTGCTCTGAGTTGGAAATTCATCTGGAAATCCGATTTCAGGGGGGCGTTCCAGATGAATTTCCTACTCAGAGCCCAGAAATCCCAACTTCCGAGTACAACCGGAACGCAGCATAAGATAAAGTTTAGATAAGAAAGGAGCCATGAAGGTTGTATTTGTACTAGAGTTGGGTACAATGTGCTATTCCCACTTTGGCTGTCTGTCAAGTAGACAACCATGTAAATGTTTGCGATGTGGCACATCAGGAGATAGTGATCATTTTTGTATATTTGTGCAGGATTTGCCAGGACTTTCCATGCCAGAGCTGTAGGTCCATATAGAAATGGTGATGCAATCTCTGTTCACTTCAGTGTTAAACGATGGATGGAACCCGAATTGTAGCATGAAGATGAGAGCCCATCAATAGACACAAGTCAAGGGCAGACCACCCCGCTCAGTAACACAGCTGTAAAACAAGCTCGATCTAAAAAAAAAACCGGCGGCCGGTGCGTCATTTTTCCTCATTGAAAATTTGTTTTGATGTTTTTGAAAACATGCACTCCCCTTTGTTCTGATCTGCTGTTCAGCATCAGTGTTTTTCTCAACATGAAATATGAATTGTAAAAATCGTTTGAAGTCGTCATCCTGATGATTCATGTTTGCTTTAGATGTTTCTGAGTTTGTTTCCGAGTGAATTCTGGCGTTAACACTCCAGGAAGGCAAATGATCATTACAAGCATTGTGACAGATACTTACAGTGTCTGTACAGTATGGGTGTCTTGCCGTGTGTTTGCACTGATACTGTACTTCCAGCCTGCTCCTGTGTGTGTGTGTGTGTGTGTGTGTGTGTTGCTGCAGAGAGCAGGACCACTGGGCCGAGTCTTAGCTGCTGCTACAGTCGTAATGAGCTGCCTGGTGCCTCAGCATTTCTGATGAAGTCTTCCCTGTGATCACTTCTCTATCTAATCCCTGTCGACCAGGTTCCTAGCAGCCCTGCCTCCATTAGCACAGCAGCTATCTAATGCATGCCAAGAAACTGCTCAGATTAACTCTTTCCTTGCCGGATTATTAAAGGTTTCCCTCCCTCATTGGGGCTTTGCATGCATTTTCATGTTAACAAACCTCTTGTAAAACATGATGCACTTTTTGCTGCGCCTAATGAAGCCAGAGTCCAGTACAGAGTGCAAAAAACATGGATGGTCTTCTCCTCTTGATTTGAAAGCGGTGTAAGGTGAGATCTAATACAGGTGTGGATTAACGTGTGCTCCTTTCCACTAAGTTATGTCTCTCGGGGTGTTTGGGAAAGGCCCCATCCGTACCGTACTGTACGCTGCTGCGTCCCCGGGTCCCTGTGTCCTTCTCTCCATCTGAATTATTCATGCACCAAAGCCACGGCTCATATCTGTGGAGGCAGCAGCTTCCCCGCGTTATGAGCCCGCAGTAATGTGACTTTATAGGGACCAAAGCTCCCTTTACTCAAGCAGCCAATCCCACCGTCTTTACTCGCCGCCGCAGACTCCCTGACATCCACCCTCTCCTTCCCTACCTCTCTGTTTCATTTTCCAATCCCTCTCTCTATCCCCCTCGGTCTCTGTCTTCTGTGTCCCTCTCCCTCTCTCTAACTTTATAAGGACATACTCTATATACCTTCTGCTTACAGGTTTTCTTTTCTCTCCGTCTAATATCACACTCCTCTCCAGCCTCTGGCAGCTTCACAAAAACCCACTCCCATATATCTTTTGAAGCCCTCTTTCTTCCTCAATCTCCCCACCGCTCTGCCTGTTTGTCAGTCTCCTTAGCCCTCACTGAGCACTCAATGTCCTCCCCCAAATCAAAAAAAAAAAAAAAAAAAAGACACTGACCTGATGTCTATGTATAGAAATTTGCCTCAGATGAACATCCATGCCCCGCTACACAGTGCATGGATGATCACTGTATCCAAGGGCATTTGCCTTTATTGCCACTGAACCAAACAGATCAATGCGCGTCATGGGGGATTTGCAGAGAACTAAGACGCACATGGCTGCCTGCAATAATATCACCCTTACAGATTATTTTCAAGGATTTATTTTTTCTTTGTTTCTGCTTGTCTGAATTTTTCTCCCCTGAGTCATTGAGTGTAAAGATCAAGATCCCTAAAAAAACTTGAACAGATCTCCAGTCAAAGGATGATAAGCAGAGTTTGGATTGTTGTCCCTAAATCCCACTCATCATCAGTGGTAAAATTGGAGCTAAATTCTCAGAAATACTGCTAAGTTCTTCTGAGAAATACGAGTACCTCTAACAACCGGTATTTCAAAGTACCTGACACACAGAAAACCCTCATTTCAAGGAAAAAAAATCTATTAAACCTGTCATAATTTATGAATGATGATACATATAAAAATCATTTATAGATTAAAAATGTATATACATGTCTCTATTGCAGGGTAGAGCTTTAATCTAGAGTCCATTAGGGAAAACAATATGAGCTGTTACATACAAAACTAATTCCACTCAAAGCGTATCCCCTGATATTCTGGTTTGGATCATTAGAGCTACGAGTAATGATTATTTTCTTTGTGGAATAATTTCCACATTATTTGCTTGATCAATTGATTGTCGAAAAGGTCAAAAAGCTCGTGGAGAATACTGATTACATTATTATTCAGAGTGTAGATGCACATATTCAAATCACTGGCTCTCTGCCACCCACTCTCTAAAGTCAGAGTAAATAATTCAAAACAGCAGATAAAACTCACATACGAGACGTCATCATCTACAAATCTTACATTTCTTTAATTGAAAGGGGAGAAAATGATTCTATTTTTGATGGGTTGCTAGTTTAAAGTCTCGGCAGTGCAGTTAATACAAAACAAAAGGTGCAGCAGACCATCAAATATCATGACATATGCTTTGTTCCAGTCAGAAGTCGGATGTTGGAGCTGGGAATGTCGTTACACCTGAGTTGACGGCATTCCAGTAAACAAGTCCAAAAACAAGATTAACGCCTACTGTTAGCCGTTGTTAGCTGACGTTTACAATTGTCAGCTGTCGTTAGCCATTGTCAGCTGTTTTTAATTGTTATTTACTCTTATAAAAACACCTTAGCACAGTTAGACGTAGGGCAGTACAACATATACCACTTATTTAATTTCACAAAAACAAAACAAAAGTGCTAATAAATAATACATTACAACAGCTTTCACTGTTAGACTTTACTGTAGATGCACTGAGCTGCCATCTTAGTTTATGATGTCGTCAAGTTGCAGAGATAGATAGAGTACTTGACCCCAGTACTTGAGTAAGAGTACAAATACTCCAGGTCAAAATTTACTCTGCTACAAGTAAGAGTAGCCCAGACAATACGTTACTCGAGTAAGAGTAAAAGAGTACTTGCTTTTAAATGTACTTAAGTATTCAAGAGTAAGAGTAAGAGTAAATTCCTATTTTTTCACATGAATTACTGTCGTTTTACAATTTTATTTATAGTACCTTGAAACTCTTGTTTCAGAGAATTAACTCTTTGAAACCACCTGGAGTTGGTGAGGCTCATCCAACTTTCCGACTTCAGGGGCGTGTTCCAGATGAATTTCCAACTCGGAGCTCGGAAATCCCAACTTTCGAGTACAACTTGAACACAGCAATAGACCACCAAAAGATAAGATACCTGGGTCATGATAAACTATCCATAACACAATGTTCTTATCAAAATGTCTGGTTGTCGGTTATAGGCAGTGATATATTGATGGCGAACCTTACTTCAGCAGCAATTGGATGAGATTACGACCGTTTTAGAAAAACTGTTGTCTTGTCCTCTGTACGAACAGAACAAAATGCTTCTTTGTTCGTTGACATTGCAGTGAATGGGTCTATTAAAGAGATGCAAACCACAACACACAGACAGACTGACAAAGTGAAGGTGAATATGGAAATGAAACAGACACAGCTTTGAAACAAAAGCAGGATATTTGATCACAGAGTCCAGTGCCGGGCTGTAAAACTATGAGTACCATCATTGTGGGAAATTAGCTGCAGTCTGGGGTCCCTATCAACAGAAGCAAACAGAAACATCTGCCTCTTCTGAATGATCCCTCTGCATGTTGAACGATGATGTGGCGGTCGTGCCACCACATCAGTAAAACGCTGTGACTTTTAGTACAAAATGACAAATTCATCGAGTGTTGTTCTGGCTTAGATTTTTCATCGATGCATTTCATTTCGGAGTCTGACTTTTTTTAACTACTCTGTCAGAAAAACCTTAAATTTAATCATCAGCCACAAAACCAAACAACATCATAACTTTGCCACCAAAATGACAGCAGTAAATCAAACCCAGTTAATAAATCCCCTTTCTAAGCAGGCACCGGTTCTCTGTCCCCCCCAAAAAAGAGACAATTTATTTTTAATAGACTAACACATGTAGTGGTGACACATTTGTTACTGATTGGCCCAGACAGGCATGCCATCAGGGGACAACATGTCAGCTGTTGCCATGGTATCTTTTTTTTTTTTTTATTCCCTCTTTCAATTTCACAGAGCTGCACATTTGATACATATTCAGGCCAATACCTTACCTCAAACGACATTTCAAGTACAGCCATTTTCTGTGTTCAACTTCAAACCTAAAAAGACCTTGGGCGTACAGTTGGGCTGGATTGAAAATGCTCAGAGATTTTCATTCGGGCACGTTAGAAATAAAGGCAGTTTGCCTATGTAATAAAAACATGAAAGGGAATGAAGGCACAAAATGATCTTTAATATCCTATTTTTATTAAGCCATTTGAATAGTTTGAGGGCTGAGAGAGGGAACGATCTATGATTATGTGCTCTAATGATGGTATTTATACCAGAGTTAGTGCCTTTGCCTCTCCTGTCAGCTCTGTGCCGATTTGAAGCTTGTTTTTAATGTGTCAGCGTTGTTGCTTTTGATTCCTCTATATTAGCTCTGCGGGCTTTCACAAGTCATAGAAATGTCTCCTCTGCGTTTCCCACATTGTCACAGGCAGAGCAAAAGGGGTCCCTCTGAAATAATTAGTACGTTACATGCTGTCAGGACCAGTAATGCAAATCAAAGTCAAACATCTTGTTATGTGATAATTTATCGATCCAGTCGGAGAAGATAACGTGTAATTTCCTAATGGAGGCTGATTGAAGAGTGCACCTCAGAGGGGACGGGGAACAGAGGAAACCGGAGCTCCTCTCAGCCAGCTGGATGTGTTATTTTTCCACTGCTATGTTATCTGAGCAGCGTGCTAATAGAAATTCTCTCTACCCTCACATATTGGAAAGATATTCATCATACTGCTTTCACTGAGATGATGCAGTAATGCATTTTGGACAGAGCAATTCTCCTGGAAGCTTAGCAAGAATAATATGTTCTTTTGCTACCTTTTTCTCATTTTTGATACAAGGTGCAAGTTTCCGTCTAGTGTACTAACTCCTCGTCTTTCAGGGTCAAAAATCAAAACAAGAGCCATGCTAATACCAAAGCTACAAATCTCAAGGAGGCGCTGAGGTTTCTAATTTCAGGAATACCTGCCAAGAATCCGAGCTAAGCTTTAATATCAGTCCCAGAGGTAGTTTCACCTCAAGACGATGAGTCTGCCAAAGTGTCAGACAGACTGGTGGTCGGATTCATTTCGTCGTCTGCTGATTTGAAACTGAGAGACTTTACTTTTCCATGGATATCTTTTTAAGAAGCTTTTTATTGCTTCTGAGATCAGCCAAGATCTGTAGGTTTCTTTCTGTCCTTGGAGAGCTTATAAAACAAATCTTCCTCAGGGAAGACTACAGTGATCTGTCTTTGTTGTAATAACACAGTTTGGGCTGCTAGTTTTAATATTCCACAACTTTACCAAAGACAAAGTTAAGCTCAGACTGTAATCAGAGGAGATCAGATCTCACAGGTATTGGCTGGCACTGGTGTATCCTTCTTTATTTAATGTGGTTAGAAAAATGGTTTTGAATGTGCTGCATCATAACAAGGTAAAGTTATTTTTTAAGATTGGAAAAATATATATAATTTTGATAATCATCACCCCTCTCTACACCTCACACTTGCAAATTTAGCTGCATCCAAAAGAGTGTGTAAGTTTCTCACTGTCTTCTGGACTGTGAGGAGGAAACAGCTGGGTGAAACATTTGCAGTATTAACTATTCGAAGTAGGGCTGTAATTTTTCAGATTTACTGTCAGGGGGCTACTTCAGTTAGCTTGCTAGCAGTCTGCTACTCCTCTTCATCTAGCACCCTCTATTCTGTGACATGTGGCAACCAGCGTACAGGACTGCTTCTATAACCTCATGGTATTACTCAGAGATATACCATAGTAGATTTTATAGACGCAAAGGTGCAAACATGAACTACACAAAGACATAATCAAGCTGGCAGCCTCTTACAGGTTTTATTTTAGTTACAGCATCAAACACAACTCATGACAATCAGACGGACAGTAGAAGCCCAAACAACCCCCTGAATCCCTTTAATTGTTCCTTCTTATACATCCCCATTGGCGTCATTAGTCCTAGTCCCGCAAGCGGCCTTCACGTTGGTGTCTGATAGCCAACAACGTGATTTCTTGTGTAAACAAATTTCCTCTCTGGACAGTTGAAAGTTCATCATGACCTGGACTCTCTCTGGCTGTATCCTGTTTGCAGTTTCACAATAACTTTGCTCCAAAAACACGTCTATTATTCGCTCCCACAGCACCGATCCCTTTTTTCCTGATACTGATACCTGGGCTGAGCGTATCGGCCGATATCCGATACCTTTCCAATACTACTGTTGAATGAATGAACTGTAAACCTTGCCCTGTGAGTGAAGGCATCAGGCTTGACATTAGCCTTGTTAAAAAGGAAGGTTACAAATTTACACAGATATAAATTTAATATTTAATTTTATTTAATATTTTTATTTAATATTTAATATTAATTTTATTTATCAACAAGTAACAAATTGCACATTAGCGCACAGCAACAAGAAGTAAGACTTCCATGTAAACATTTAGTGCAAAAGGATAGACAGACATAGAATATAGAGTGAACAGAATTGCTGTGCTGTGTGTGATATAAAAAAAAAAAAAAGACTGGATCGGCATCTGATGAATGATGCCGATCCATTTAATTTGTCAATATCGGAGCCAATATCTGATCCAAATATTGGATCAATGCATCCCTAGTATTACTGTATGCCTATTTTTAGCACAATATCAATCATTTCTTTGTTTGAAATCATCAACTCTGGTAAATTACAACAGTCCTAATTTAAAACGATAATACTATATTGTATTGGCAGCCTGTTGACATCTGAGCTGTGACTGAAAAATCAGTAAAATAATTATTTAGAATCTTTATATGAGACATGATGTTTCTCATTAATTGAATCTTGAAAACAAATAAAGATGCACATGAAGAGGCTGACACATGCCAAGCCTGCTAACTACTTCATGCACTTTTTAGCTGCTCTAATCTGCAAACATTTCCCCACCAAAGCCCCCCGAGTGACGCTCTCTCCTTTCATGTCTGCTGAAGCTCCGGAGGCATTTAGCTTCAACCTCTCTCTCTCTCTCTCTCTCTCTCTCTCTCTCTCTTTCTGTCTGTCTTTCTCTCTCCTCATCTTTTCCCTCTCTTTACTGTATCTAAAGAAGTGTAGGGGTGTGTAGGGATGGCTCATCTCCGTCCCGACACCCTGACCCTCCTTCCTTACAGCACGCCGCAGCCCTTCTTGTCGCCTCATCTGCAAATGCCAGAGCGGTTTTGTGCCTCGGGGAGTATGCAGAGATCAAATGGCCACAATTCAATGTTGTGAATCACAGAACAGGGAGACTGTCACCAGAGGTCTCCCCAGAGCATGCTGTGTGCCAGGATGAAGAGGCCTGCTGATCACTGACTGATAGAGAACTCAAGGATAACACCTGAGCTTCTCTCATTGATATTGGCTGTCCCACTGACAGATAAGATAGACTTTGGTGGAAACGGTCTGTTTTGATTCCCCCATCTCATTCGAGTGCCTATAAAAGTGGCTTTTTCAGTTTGAAATTGCTGCAGGGGTGTGGGAAACGGGACCTTGAAATACCCTGCTGATTTTCTTTGAAATAATGTCTGGTGTGAGAGTAAGAGCCGAAAATTGACTTACTTTAGGGTTTGTCTCGCAATGAATGCAATCCCCAAAAACCTGTTTAAAGCCGTCAACATCTGTAATCTAGAAAAAAAAAGGCAAGATGTGTTAGATTTCTTATTAAATGACTTTTCATTTGATCGAAAATTAGTTTCTTGATGATATTAGCATTTTAGAGTAAGCAGGAAGTTAAAATTATTTGTTTACTTTTGCAAGATTGTCTCCATAAAAACAGGAAAGTCCTATAACTGCCTGCTACTCAGCCTCGATCGAAGAAAATAAAAAGCAATTCGAGGCACCTTTTCAGGTTGTAGCGAGGCTGACAGAGAGTCAAAGCCCCGTAGGGTCATGCTTTCCTGTAGGCCTCCGCAGAGATGACTTTCAGCTTCTTTAACGATAAAATCGTAAAGGTCTGAGACGAAATCAGCCTTTTCCTGCCCTTGAATAGTGCAGATCTCTCTTTTTTTAATAAACGCTGAAAACCTGACAGACTGTCTTTCACCAGGTAACTTTCCTGGACTCAATTAAAAAAACTCTTCGTCTGAGTTGTCAACCTGTCTCTTAGAGTCCACACCAACTAAGCTCCTCAAAGAAGTCTTTTCTTTAATTATAACTTCTCAACTAAGATCGATAGGTTGAGTTTTGTGTCACTGTCATTTAATCCTCCTCCTGATTCAGGGCATGTTAGCTAACCATAAGCCTGTATCTGACCTTCTCTTTATTGAGAAAATTCTCCAGAAAGTATAAACCAGACTCAGTATAATAAAAGTATAATTTTTACCAACAGGAGGGAAGGAGGAGATTTCCGATGTGTGCTCCAAATTGCCCAGACTAGAGAGAGAGAGAGAGAGAGCTTGACACGGACATAACTCACAGGTCAAAGTTCAACAACTTGTCAAGGATGTGAGTCTTTATTTTTCGCTGTCGTCCCCTCCTATCATCGATCAACAGAACTCTCTGGTCAATATAGATCTGTCTATATCTGTCTATGAATTAAAATAATGTACCGTGGGCTTACAAGCAGGGGCGGGTCAGACCTTTTTTACTGGGGTGGCCCAACTCTGCACTGACGCTGCTGGGGTGGCACAAAGTATGTGTGTCACACACAAGTAAGTAGTATTTATTATTGCATTCAGTTACTTTAAATGATAATTTATATCTCCAACAAGGCAAATAACCAAATAAGATGTTTTGGGGTTTTTTCTACGCAAAGTTCAATGTTAAGGTAGGCTTGCACTTGACAAGTATCTCATGTTATTAAAAACTACAACTTAAAAACTAAATCTAAATTATTAAAAGAAAAAAGACTAACTAAAAACAGCCTTAAAACTTATCCAACTCAAAAACAGAAAGCCAAAACTAAAGGAAAAAAAAAATCTAATCTGAATTTCAGAACTTTTATGACCTTGGTCCCCTCATTAAGAAAAGTGCAGTTCACATTTGTTGAGCACACGTAGCACTGCAGCTTCATTTTTAATTTAAATCTCCCAACATGCAGATAAAAGTTGTTAGAATCACATGTTTTTAAAAGAAATAAACTTTTTCTTCCAATCTAAAAGTTCCCCCACAGTCAGTTCAGGTTCAGACAGCCAATGGTACGGTGCGCAAGAGCCCCCATGTAAACTATTAAATCATTTTGAAGAGACTAGAGCTATTAATCAGAATAACGGGAACTGCTGTAAGCTGGTTTAAGCCATAATTATCTGATAAGTCTTAAGGTCCTTACACACCAGGAGCGAAGCAAATACATGACGCGAAATTACGAAATATTTGGAGGTGAATTTTGATGCACCTGACTATACACATCAAGCCCGATTCGATTTTGCAACTTTCCGGGGGGGAAAAAAGATGCATCCCGGGTGGAAGCAAGAAGACTGACACAACACCAGACTGACTGTTTTTCAGTTCTGATTAGACACTAGTGTTGAGATGGCTGTCAGGGCCAGTACCAGATAAGCACATTAAACTATAATCCATAAACGTAAGGAAACAACAGAGACCTAACGGCGCTGTGACAGCAACACGATTGAGTTTGAGACAGTGAAAATACATATGGTATGTTGTATCTGAACAGGTTAGCTTACGAGCTAAAGTTACTTAGCACAGATGAAAGTTAAAACAAAGACGTTTAGCAAACTCTTAAAGCACACAAGCTATTGTCATGTGAGAAATCCGACGCTATGACTCTCCACAAGTTGTCCTTCAGGCCGTTATCATAGTCTTTTATCAAAATGCACTCTGTTCTCTGACACGTAAACAATCAGCCAGTCAGCCATGTTGGATATACCGATGAGTCAGACATCTCAACAACACGAAAACTTTAAAAAGTTTCGCACACTGATACGAAAAAATAAATGCTGCAATATCGCAGGACGGGAAAACGTCGCTGATGTGAACGCTTAGATTGACAGGATACAGGTTCGAAAAAAATATTGAAAAAATAATCACACAAAAAAAAAACGCTCCCAGTGTGTAAGGACCTTTAGTCTGTAAGTTAAGGTATTCCTCAAGGTTTTGTACTCGGGCAGATTTTTTTTCACCATTACTTTGCTATCATTGTGTATTTCCAGGTATATTGTATCATAAGCACTTGTCCTACCAATTAATAGCATTATTGTCATAATTGTTATTATTAAATAGTCCACCTGAAGTACTTTCTCCTTTGTAAATATTGACACTGGAACCAGAAGGCTGCATGAGCGGTTTTGTTGTCTGCGTCAATCAGTCTCTTTTTCTGCACCTCTTTTCCAACACAGTCTCAGCAGGTGGCTTTAATAATAATAATGCATCAGATTTTATAGCGCTTTTTGTCAGTTACCTCAAAGCGCTTTACATTGGATACATCACTCATTCGCTCACACAGTCACACCCTGGTGGTGGTAAACTACCTTAGTAGTCACAGCTGCCCTGGGGCAGACTGACGGAAACGTGGCTGCCAGTTTGCGCCTACGGCCTTGAATCTGGCCTTGAAAATGGAATAAGAAGGATCCTGCCGTCGTGCAGGTGCTTAAATTTTCTGATATTTACTGTCCTTTAGTAACATCACAGATTGTTCAAATGTGGTGCGCCTACGTGGCACCCCACAGGCCTTGCAATGTGTAGTGTGCAAGCATGGAGTGAAGCACAAAAAGTAGTTATTTGCATTTGATTAGTCATGAATATACATGAGCCAAAGTAGAATAAAGACCAGCCGTATGAATTTTGGAATTCAGCCCGTTATGCTTCGGTTCGAGTATGAAGCTTTAAAAAAAATTTGTGTTTGCATAATAACACTTACAGCAATGAATATAACCTCTCGCTTTCCAAATCGTTTCAGTTGCTATGGGGATCAAAGCTTTCTGCACGCTTGAGTAGGAATGACTGTTGTTGTTGTTACATAAGGAGCACAGCTACTTTGCAAGGCTAGCCGCTTTTAGGTGTTGAACTGCCATCGTCTCTGAGTGCACCGCTACGTGGGCGGCTTGCAAACCCCTCAGCCTGAGGAAGGAGCTGATCCGATCTGCACTGTCAGCACCGATGGGACTTCCTGGACAGGCAGAGCTGAATCCTTGATTGGCTGTCAGTCAGCGTCAGTCACTCTGAGGCCTGACTATCATTCACGCAGAACACACACAGGCACACATACAAAGGAATGAAACAGGCTTCGGAGAAGGCAAATTTATTTGCAAGTAAATTGCAAAACTTTCATTCGGAGAGAATTACCCCTGAGAATGGATCGGTAATGGTTGCCTGAGCCACAACTGTTCTGCAGCAGCAGTTTACTTGTTGAAATGTGAGACGCTCATTAGGCCGAGGGTTCCCTGATGAGACAGTTTAATTACATGCCATGGGGACTGGTGAAGTGGTAGAGCTGCCATTACCACTTTTATTAGTACTTTGAACCAGCAAAACACAACATAAGATCTTTATAATGTCATTGTTTTCATTGTTTGCAGTGGGCTATGGAGCAAAACAGGTCATGCAAGGTACATGCAACGTTGTTGGGCTTTTATTTTGTGAAACAGAGGCTTTTATTTTGTGAAATGGATACACTGCAGTGCTGCGAAGCATGTTTTTGTAAAGCAAGGTGAGCAGCTTAGATTCAGCGCTACAGGGGAGAAAGTAGGTGTCAGTTCAGCTTCAGAAGATTTACGTACGTGTGTGTGTGTGTGTGTGTGTGTGTGTGTGTGTGTGTGTGTGTGTGTGTGTGTGTGTGTGTGTGTGTGTGTGTGTGTGTGTGTGTGTGTGTGTGTGTGTGTGTGTGTGTGTGTGTGTGTGTGTGTGTGTGTGTGTGTGTGTGTGTGTGTGTGTGTGTGTGTGTGTGTATTCCGATAGAGCCAATGGTTATTGCCAGAAACACCTGACGAATGTTTGCAGGCTGATCACAGACTCAACAGGCACTCTGACAGGGACAAGCAGCCACCCAGAGTGCACTGTTTGCCTCTTCCTTTTGTAACTTATTTACCTCCCACTCTGCTACTCGCACCCTTCAGTCTAGACCTTGTTTGGTTGAACCCTGTCCCGCTGATTCTCCCTACAGATCCCTCCCGAGAAAATCATCCCCTCATCCTCCCTCTGTGCAGCCTTTTATTTCCGCGTGGCCCGGCGGCCTCTTTAGCATGCAGATGTGATTAGCTAATGTCACCTCGCAGTGGGACTGATTCAGACTGTTCCTCTCTGCTGGAGTCACTACAGCATTGCAATCCCGGGAAAATCAAATTATAGAGCCATTAATTTGTCTTGGTAATCCGGGCTGTCTGCTGCTCAGGAGAAGTAATCTCCCAGGACTGCGTTCATCAAGTGTGTGATGCCAGCAGAAGTGAGGCATTAGCTAATTAACAGGGGAGGAAGAGTGGCCAGAAATTACACCTGGTCTGAATCACCTGCCTTCTCGCTAAAACTTGCTGACATGTAGATCAGAGTTTGTTCACATACACATAACTCTCGAATACAATCTCCATGGTTACTGGTAAAAATATATATATATGTGTTTAAGTGTTTTTTGACCTGAGGACTTCTTCTATAAATGTTTTCAGTAAACAAATAGAAAACTGTGTGGAGCAGACATAACAGAGGTGTTTTAGTCTGACAGTGTCTGTAAGAAACAAATGTGTTTTCACAACTTGTACCCATTAGAAAGGACACAAACTTTCATGTCAGCAAACCCTTACAAGGTGACCACCCAGAATCTGCACATGCTGCTTATTTGTACTGCCGCAAGGGCACAAAACACAGTAACATGAGTTAGTTTGGTGTTTATGTGGAACTTCCAACAGTTCCGACTTTCATATTTATCTGAAGGAAGCAGCGCTCGACCGATGTCGTTCTTTCAAAGGCTGATGCTGATGATTACAGAGCAGATCAGCTGCTGGTGGATATTTTATGCCAAGATCATGTGCTACATGCCTGTCTTTACCTCTCAGCTCATACTAGTTGTTATTGATAACAGTTCTCAGAAGACAACTTGACAAGTCAGTATAAAATAGTACAAAGATCTGTAAATACTCCTGCACTCAACCAAGTCGCAGCTAAATTCACTGAATTTTCTGCTATCTTTACTCTATTTTTTCATATTTTTATCATATTTCCTCAAGAGAAGAGCTTCTTTCATTGAGATGAAGCAAATCTGGACACAACATCCAATTCCAGCAGACATCTGGAGGTGTTTTTGTGGTTGCCGTGCTGGTGCAAAGGTGAAGGCAAAGTTGAAGGCTTGGAAATGGAGATATAAGCTCTTTCTTCCTTCAGTCATTATAGGAAACACCAACTCTCAGCCCAACAGAAGCAATGAGCTGGAGACATTAGTGAAGACTAAGAAAGCATACCGTGAGTGCAGTCTCCTGTTTTTCACTGGTTGAATCAAAACTACTCAGACTCCAGTGTGGATCTACCTGCCTTCACTCACTCTCATAAGGTCAGACTGAGATGCTACAGCTAGTGGCGAGAAGAAAGGAGGGAGTCTGGCTTTATTTGTTAACTAAAAATGATGCAACTCTGTTGGCGGTTGCTCTTCGGCCATATTATGTTCCAAGGGAGTTCAGTCATATCATAACAATGCTTGTACACATCCCACCTAAGGCAACGGCTGAAGTTCCGTGTGATGTTCTCCATGATACTGTTGCTAGGATACAGTGAGGAAGGTAGTGGTCATTCTAAAAACATGCGATGGACAGCTTCTCTCTCTTCACTGCAGGCGAGAGAGATTGTGACAATATTTTGTACCCACAGCTATCAGACTTCTCAATCCTTCCATAAAAACTAGATGAGATGAGATTCCAGACAAACAAATTTCCTTTTGGGGATCAATAAAAGTCTCGTATTGTATTTTCTGTTGACAGAGTTGGCTGTCTTGAATAGACAGCATTGCCTCTGAGTAGTTTTGATTAAGATTCAAACATCTGATCTATTTTATCCAGAATTTGGTTAAACCAAACTTTCTCATTTAATTTGAAATAAACTAACAAACAAACAAACAAAAAACACAGAATACAAGCAGCTACTCTGATGAAGCTGTAACAAGAAAGATTGTGAATGAAGTCAGAACATTGATGCTGAATTCTCCCATTGAAACAAAATTTTGGAACCAAAAAGAAAACCAGCACAGAGAAAGGCGACACTGGCATTGAAACACGTGTATTCAAAGAGTTATTAGTCATTAAAAAAACACTTGAGAATGAAACAAATATTAGTCATTTTATCTTCTCTTTGAGTGTTTTAATATTCTGTGAAACTATTCCCCATGCCAAATCCCTCTTTGAGTGCCAGTACAACTTTTTCTTGTATACATGTTTCAATGCCAGTGTTTGTTTTTCAAATCAGCTCTTACTCTCGATGCCAAAATTTAGAGCCTCTATCCTGGCTCCACACAAAACAGATGATAGAAAATGTATAATGACTTTGCTTCTTGAGCTTCAGCGAAACCAAACAAATTGATCTTCATTTCTTTTGGTTAGGAATGAAGACAGCGTCTGTAGAAGTCATCGTGTTTAATGTAGAGATGTATGAAGAAAGCAAGAAGTGGATAATCAAGGCTGCATCAACCAGTCTAGTGTATCTACGCCTCTCTCATTAGCAGACACGAATAGAGCATATTGCTCAAAAATATGATTTTAAAATATTAATTTTCTTCTTGATTAGATTTGAAACTGATGAGAAACCATAAAGTATAATTAGGGTTTTATGATGTCAGCCGTTTGCATTAGGTTTGCAGTGAAATGGAAAAGAAGAAGTACAGAAGCATGTCTGTCCTGTGATCATTTCATTTCGTCCTCAATAATACAAGCCAATTACACAGTACCGGGACATTTACCCACACACTGCACTGTTTGTCAAAGCCTATTTCCCAAAGACCATCCCACTTTAAAAAGCTCGTCCTCCTTGCTTCCTTCTTTACCATGCACGTTCAGCACCCGAGGATACTAGCCTGTAATCACATTAGCGGATCCTTTGTGACGGCTCTTTCACAACATGCTATGTGTTAAACTCCCAAAAAGATCTTCTCTGCTCCAACAGCGTGCCCAATCTGGAGAATGCACTTTTTTGTAAGCGTGAATCATTTGTCCTTTTTGTTTGCATGCGTCTGCACAAACGGGAGTGAATAAATGGTAATGAGACATCATTATCACCAATCCTGCTTTGATTTCGCGGCTTCAATCCTGGGTGAGAGTGTCCCATCATCTTCAGCAGACATAGGAGTGCTGATGTCGTGGATAAAAACAGCTCCGTGCACGCCGGGACGTAACCCAAACCTTTGCAAATGTCATCTTTCCCCGTGACTAAGTTTACTGCTTCTATTTGTGTCACAACAAACCACCTCTGGGTGTGGATGATTGACAAGCTGTGAGTGATAATTTGACACATTCTGCCATTATTCCTTTCTGCCGACTCACTCTTTTATTTTTAAGCACGCTGCAGCATTGTCAACCTGAACCTTTATGACACCTGACAGCGACACATGAGAGACGTTGGCGTTCTTTTATTCAAGTGTAAAGGTTTAAACTTTCACTTTAGGTCTCTTGCACATTGGGGACCAAAACAGCAGGTTTATCTTTCCCCTTAGGTCAATATATCTTCAATTCCTTTTGTTTTTCTTCACATTACCATTACTCTTAGAGGCGGCTGCCACTTGTGCTTTATTCCAAACAGCACACGTGGGCCAAAGATGATGCCCTGCTTCTGATGCATGCTCCAAACCGTTCAGAAATGCATAAACAACAAGCCTCTCAAAAGTGCCTTGCATCGACCGCAGCCGCCATCCCTGCAGTCAGCTCTGCGCGGGGCTGTTTAGCAACTCGCACCATTGATCGCTTCAAGTGAGTACCCACCACAATCGGCATCCTATGACACCAGGGGGAAGCGGGGGAGTGCACAAGGTGCAATTAGCTGCTCCCAGGAGCACAGAGGGAGTGACAGACAATCAACATGGAGAGAGAAAGTGAGGAGGAGGAGGAAGAGGGGGAGATGAAGAGGAGGTGTGTACAAGAAAAAGGAAGGGTGAGGGGAAAAGATGGTCATTACCCAAATGGGTCGTTATGCCCCATCTATCCATCCCATGCTGCCATAGCCCCTCGCCCACGCCACAGGAGTTTTAATTGGTCCGGTACACAGTGTTTGCTCAAGCACTCTGCAAGTTTGGAGAAGCACTCTGTAGGGGAATGCGGTAGGCTCACTCATGCTGGAAATATATAAGCGGGAAAGGTGTGGGTAGAAGAGTGAGGTGTATGTATGTGTGTGCTTGCGTACATGCGTCCGTGCTCTAAAATCTCATATCAACGTTCAGAATTTTATGTCCGGCTACGTGGATAATGAGCAGCTAGAGTTTTGGTGATTTCCTGTGTGGGATGCCCAAAGAGGAATCAGCAATCTGCAGGACTCATTATATTGCTGCTGTCACTGCATTAAAAGTACTGGCCACTAAACCTACACTCACAGCTACAGTGAAGCTCCCATTATTAGGGCTGCACCGTACACTGTTAAACATCCCAGCTGTGATGTGCGCATGGGCAGGACTTGGATTCAGAAAACACGTTATTTTCTAATTTTTCATGACTTTTCTTCAAGAAGATGAAACATTTTCACAATCCCCAGCCTTCTTTCTTTGTGTATCTGCTGATACGAAGTCCCCGAGTCTTTGCAGAGATAAGTGTTTTCCACAAAATGATGGTGAACTTGTCATGGTCGGATGGTGGAGTGCTTTTTAGCTATTATCTTAAGTACTCTCAGTTTTGAAAGTCTGGACCTGCTTGGTAATACTAGTCTTTGATGAAAATGGTACTGATAGGATGATAGGCAGCTCATAATCCCTGGTCGATTAAAAAATACCCATATCGGCTCTGAGGGAGTTGAAATTAGGTTTGGGACTTCCTTACAAATTTCGAACTACATTTAGTTTTTTTTTTGTATTCAAACAACAACATCCAACAATTTAAACACATGGCAGTAATTAAAATAATGATGAAAATATTAATAATAGAGGTAAATAAATAAATTGTCAGTTTTCGCTAAAATTTTCGTTAAAATAATAAATAAAATAAATAATTAAAAATGTAAAATGAACCAAGAAATTAATCAACAAATTACTGAGCAATAAATAATAATAAATAGATAAATTAAAAAAAAATCTTAAATAAGAATATAGCTTACATAGTACACTACCAACAACAAATTAAATATTTTTACATTTAGTTTTTTTTTTTTTTCACTTGAGTTTGGTGCATCTTCAGGAAGGGAAATCTCAATTAAAATAGCACTTAAAAACTTTGTATCCAAAATTAATTAATCAGATTTCAATGTTTACTTCAAAGTTTCCACATTCCTAATAACACTAAAATCTTTTTGTCAATCTGGGAGTTGAGCTCACCCCTTTTACACAAAGGTCCATTTTCTTTAGTATCACAGCCCTTCCTGTTTCTCTTTTACATGGGACGACAGTATCTCAGGAGGTAGAGCGGTCGTCCAATAAGCCGTAGGTTGGTGGTTCGATTCGCCCCTATACCTAGTCTGTCTGTTGTGTCCTTGGGCAAGACACTTAACCCACCTTTCTCCCAGTTTGTGTCCTCCACTGGTGTATGATTATGAGTGTTGTGTGGTGGTGGTGGTCGGAGAGGCGGTAGGCGCAGATCGGCAGCCAGAGGGCAGCTGTGACTAATAAGGTAGTTTACCACCACCAAGTTGTGACTGTGTGAGCGAATGAATGATGTATCCAATGTAAAACACTTTGAGGGTCTCTGATAAAGCACTATATGAAATCTGTTGCATTATTATTATTATTACATGTAGTGTACAGCACAGGCTAAAAAAACAAATGCATGACTGTATTAAATATGTCTTATCCCCTGTGTTCATTGATGTTGTGAAGCCATTACACAGTATCTGTGTAACAGATGTCTTTGGTCTCTTGGAGGATTTGATGATGCACTTTAAACATTACTGAACTAAGAGCATGCTGACCATACTGCACTTATGTTTTTTGTTGTTTTTGTTTTTTAAGACTCTTAACTGCTGGATTAAACTAAAACCTCTCGATCGCCTCCTGGGAGAGTGGCTATTATTTAAGGGGGCCCTTGATCTGCAGTAGAGTTTTCTGTGCGTGTAGCAAACGTTTCAAACTCCAATATTGTTGATTCGTTTAATCTTGAGAAGGCCAAAAGCACGATTGCAGTTACAGTTTGATTAATCGTGCAGCCTCGGGCCTGCTGTTCATTGTAGAGCCCCATTTGACTGCAGAGTTTCTGATTCAAAGAGAAATGCGGTTTCTACTTCGAATACTTTGGTACTGAGAACTAACTGCGCCCCTCATAAATCCCTTCTTAATTAGATACTCCCTGCATCCCTACACTGAGCAGAATCTGTATTTTTAAGGATACATTTAAAATGTTTCTGTCCGTGCAGACGTTTGGTTAATTGTCCCTCTTCATTTGATGCTGTATAACTGATTAATTCTGGTATCTGAGGACTGTATATCTCATATTCTTGAACACTTTTAATGTGGTGCATTTGTATTATTAATTCCCTTTACTGTATGTATTATCTTTGCAAAGCGCTTTATGACTTTTGTGTATGAAAAACCCTTTCTACATAAACTGACGTAGTTAACTTCGATCCCTTTGTGAGCACAGAGTCATCTTGAAGGTGAATACTTTTTAATGCCCCCGGCTGCAGGTAGAAGTGAAAGTTCTGGTCGGCAGTACTGTGGTGGGAAGACAGAGTGAAGTCTCGTCTCTTTCAGTCTGATGAATGCTCTCCATGGGATTATCTCACTGGGCAAAAATGGAGAGTCCTTGCCTACAGGGTCAAGTCTTTGCTTTGCTGACACTATTATGACTGCAGTATATGTTTTGCGCAGACTCTCTGATTGTCAAAGTGTTTTCTTTTGCCTCAGAAATTGTATTAACCTCAGCAAGGTTGCAGACTCTTTCAAACTACCCACTGCCACTTCAAAATCTGACAGAGGGAAGGGCCACCCAGTGTATTCAGAGTATTGTTCAGGTAGACTGGTATGAAAGCATGCAAAGCCTTTTCAGATTCATGTAAGTCTTAAGATAAAGTATGCATTCAGTGGGTTTTGAAGTGTGAAAATGTCCACTTTGAAGGAAACGGAAGGAGCAAATAGTTTCTCTTTGTACTTCACCTTGATATAAAAGAGACACTTCTGCATGTATGCATTCATGCTAGTCCTTCAGTATTCTTAGACACACTTTAATCCGATGCTTTGGACCTCGGGGGGCAAATTTGGTGCATTTTTATGAATTCTGAAGCTGTCACCAAAAACTTTGTTTTGGTTTGTAACTTTAAAAATTTCAGTCTCAGAGAGCAATACCAACAATCTCTGGATCGAGCTTCCACCATATCAGATTTTGTCCATGGTTGTTTGGTGATGGATACTCCCATACCAGAGTTGAGTAAATTGGGTACAAAAAGTCTCTGGGCAGAGCTGGAATGGGTTTCTTATACTGCTGTATCGAATAGGGATAGGTACAATTTAGGTAAACAATAAATAACAAAATGTATATATTTTATTTAATGGAATAGAATTTAGCACACTGGCAGGTAAGGGACAAGGACTGATTTAGAAACTTTCACCGATTGTAGGATTTTAAATTAGACCTTAATTACAAATTCTACTTGAAAACCAACTGTTTAACCTTTCTAACTTTTTTTGGGGGCAAAGCCCTGGCTTAAAAAATTGTTTAGGGCAATCACGGACGCAATTTGTGGAACACACATGCACACACTCTTTCAAAAGCCTGTTTTGGTCCCCTGCGGTTTTAACCATCTAAAAACATTGTTACTTTACACTATAGCAATCCAATACACATCAGGCACTAGGACCAAATGGCCGCTCAAGCCAAAAACAGTTTTTCCTTGGTTTGGACCGCCCACAAGGTCCTTGATTGGCTCTGCCGCAGGGCCGCTTTTTGTGTGTGGTTGGCTATCCCTGCTGTCAGTCTTTTCATGCCCGCTGGACTTGTGTTTTGCAAGTTGCTCGTAAGAGTCAGTCCGTGAACATTGCTATTTGCCCATTTGCTATTTGTGGGGTTTGTACTTCCATCCACCCGCTGGCTGTATAGCCTCCTTTGTTACTGTGCGTGCGAGATGTGCTGTTTGCTAGGCTATATGTAAAGGTGGGAAAAAATAAAGAAATCAGAGCTGAGCATTGACGTTTGAATCCGTGTGTCACATCAGTACTCGGGTCAAATGTGTCCCCCCCACCTTTGAAATTAAAATTTCGTCCATGAGGGCAATATATCACAGTGTGGTCCTTGACTATTTGTGCATCAGTGCATGCTACAGGTCAATACAGCACAAATGCTGTTATGGCAGTTTTGAAAACCATAATAAAGGCAATAGATGGCGGTAGAAGCCAAACTACAACATGCAGCTCACATCTCAACACCATAAACCTCCATCTACACTGACACGACACTATTCTGATCAGCTGCACGGAACAAAGTTCACATCGAAACACTTCGAGTTTAGCTACAGCTGTGTATCGAGTCTCTGGTTTGTTACAGAGAGTTTGAGTTTTCAATTCAAACTGTATTGTTTAGAATCTTATAGAAAACAAATGTGATTTGATCGGCCCGGTTACGATGAGAGCGCCCTCTACTGCAAGCTACTTCGGTTTACCTGATGAGCTGGTATCCCTGTATTTTTTATGAGTTTGTGCTGCTCATTACGGTTCTGAACATGGTGACCTTTTCCTTCAGAATTTTAATGAAAGATCAAATTTTGAATAAGAAGTGACAGTCCTACAACACAGTGAGCCACGGAGCTTTAATATTCAGACACACAAAATCTTGAAATCAAATTAAAAAGTTGTTTAAACGTTGAAATTTCAAACTAATAAAAGTATTTGGATAAGGTTTCTGTCTGACACACGCATACGTAACAGGCCTTGTCTGGTCCAGGTATGTCAAATGAAACGTCATATGCTTGGATTCATGTTATATACTTGATGTGCTGAAAGTTACCCAGTTGAAGAATGTGAGTGAAGTTATGAATAAACTATGAAGGGATGTCAGTCAGGGAGCACATCAGAGAGCAAACATGGGCCTGCTGTTCTCGGTAGTCAGGACCACAGGACATAAACGCGGTAACTTCATGTTTGGTTGCATAACATGATGCGGCCTGTTTCCCCTTAAAGCTGACCTCATAAATAAAATGATGAATCACTGAAGGAAAACCATTTCGCTTGAGCACAACAGTCACTACTCAAACAGGCACGCTGCATTCAATTTATGCGGAATTATTGCCCATTTAATATCCCGCAGCAAACAAAATATTGAACCTTGAGAACCAGAATTTAGCTGAATTGATTCTGCACCTTTTCACTTTGAAAACACTTTTATTTTCAAGATGGAAGGTTTTATTTGAAAAAGATGTCATGAATCTGGAAACATTAAGATCTTTTGAATGCGAGGGGAAAACGGAGGACAATTTATCGGAACACTTTGCACACTGTGTTTGTTCACTCTGAAAGGAAACATTGAGAATCATCTCAGGGTCTTTGCAAGGACGTTCAGTATGGAGCGTTGGATTGCTCACCTGCCTCTGCAATAGTTATTTTTGTTCTTTTTCCTACTGTGATTAGGTGAGTCAAAAGGCTTTGGCTGCCACTCATCCATAGGCACCTTTCTTCTTTACAGTCTCTGCAGAAAGACCATTCAAGGAGTCGCAGATAGCACACTTTACATGTATTCACAAATGAAGCTTTGCATGCCTAAAGCCTTTATTTTATGCTTTGGTGGCATTTCACTCCAGACATGGCCATAATCTGCTTGTACAACATTCTCTCTGTTGCATTACATCGACTTATACATGCGCTGACTGTATAACTTACAGTCTGACTTGATTTAAACCTTCAGTTTGGCTTTACCTGGAAAAGTCCTGCTTTTTATTCGTCTCTGAGAATAGCGACCCTAACTTGATCAGGACTTGATAGACGATTGGCAATTATTGGCAAATGCATGTTCTGTCTGCAGGGCTGTCTCTGGCCAATGTGGTGCCCTGGGCGAGATTATGATTTGGTGGCCCCAGATTTATTGGATTTTGAAAAAAGAGTCAACAAATTATACTCTCCAACATTAGAAAATCAGTTTTTTTCTGCTGCAGGGTATCATTTTATAGCCACAGATCCCAAACCCTGGTTATATTATTTGTGGTGTATCTCGCTTTCTACAGATAAGATTTCATCAAGTGGCTCTTTAGGAGGCGGCTCTAACTTCAGGCGTATTTGAGAAGTTCTTCCCCAGGATATTTTTCTATCAGTCTGTTTTGTACACACTTGGCACTTCATTTACATGATAATTATCTTGGACATTTGTAATCTAATTCACAGTGGAACAACTTTCATTGACTAAAGTTGGAATTTAGCCTTTTACTTCCATTAATTTGATAAAATGAGTGTTAGATTATTGTTGAATTATTTATAGATATGAATTTTCTGGTTATTTTTTCACTCAGATGTTCAAAATTCATATATATTTAGATCCACTTTATGGATTGTAGCGCTGAGCTGTTTACCTGTCAATAACTGTCACCGTCTCTACCTCATCTGTCTCTTCATCATACACTACTGTCTCTTTTTCTTCCTCATTAAATGCTGTTGTCCATCTGCCTGCCATTCTGAATACAGGACTGCATGGGATCAGACGTGCACAGGCCCACTAATTAAACAATTACCAGCAATCCTGATGAAGAGAAATGTCTGTCATGTTTAAAATCATCCTTTAATGAGAAGTTGTTACTTGGGCTAGTTTCTCACCCTCCTCTTTCTCCCCTCTGTACCTGAATGCTTTCTATCTCTCCTTCTGCTTCAAGACTTTGTCAGTCCGGCATACACAGTTTTAATAGTTTTCTTTGGTTACAGGGGATCTCATCTCTGCTTTTTGCAGACGATGTGTTTCTGTTGGTTTCATCAGGCTCTGACCTCGAGCAGATATTAAGGGGTTCTGTAGCTGAGTACCTGGAGTCAGTCCAAGGCCATGGTTCCCAAGTTGAAAACAGTATTTCTCTCTCTAGATGGCTGGGAAGTGAGTCCTCTAGTTAAAGTCAGGGGCAGCCTCAGAGCCCTGAAGTTAGAGTTTTCTACATTCATTTTAATATTAATATGTTTGGTAGTCATGTGTTTCATGATCCTGTTTGTATAAAGAGTAGGGGTAGGAGAATAAATCGATTCACACAAGTATCACAATTTTTTGTTTTAAAAGTGATTTTTATGTTAAAAAATCGAGTTTTTTTTTTTCAAATTGAAGAATAAATCTTAAAACTGACTTACATGTGATTTGTATTTTTCGGGGAAATATGGCTTTTAGAATAGTCAGTAGACAATCATAATCATTCAGGTGTTTTATTGGTGTTAAAGTTGCAGATTAAAAATCGAGGAAAATCAACAGCATCGTAGAATTGGAAGTTAACGCCAATGACTAAACTCCTTGACATCCTACTACAAAGATTAAAGCAGGCTAACACTAGAGTCTTGTCTAATACAAAATAACATGCATAGTTGTGTTGGTGTTCATGCAACAGAGCAGTTGGCCTGTCTGACTCTAACCTTTGACATGACTGTGTGCAACGCCAAAGCAAAATCACAACAGTGTAACCCTGGATTTCCACCTCATCCAAAACGGCTCTGATCTGGAAGGTTGGGGATTTTTGTCGTACGCCAATTCCTACCAGATTCGTTTGTCCCTCCACAGGAGGAAATCTACTTCTAGACTTATAAAATCAGCATCCTCTCACCCGTCCTGTCATCGGGATGAAATGCTGTCTATAAATCTTTCACTTGTTCGTCTCCGCCTGTTTGCACAGTGTGAAATACGACCCCCCTGAAACACATAGTGTTTTATTTTTAAAAGAAGCCAGATGTTTTATTTTGTGTCTCTTCCTGACTTCTTTTCCAGCACAGGTTAATCTGTGCTGAATTTATCCGCCATGCTCCGTCGTCTGGAAAAAATATAACTCTTGCGATCAGTTGTGTAGTCCGGCGATCCACAGTGGAACGGAAAGAAGCCGGTGGTAATTGACACATTAACTTGAATGCTTATGATTAGCTGCAATTAGCAGATACAGCCTTTTCGAAGCCATTCCAGATGCAGTGGAAATTGCAGGTAAAAGTGTGAGAGTTTTTGCACGCCTGCTAATACACATCATTCCTGTTGTTACATCATCACAGGAGCAAATTCAGATGCCATGTAGAAGCTGGAGGTGAGCTGCAGAAACCGCACAGAAGCTCTTTGACTTCCATGTTCTCAGGGTTTCTGCTGAAAGATGACTTAAGTATAAATGCAAAGGCGATGTAAAACATGTTTTTCATGTAAAGCTCAATTTAGCTCTGATTTGCATGAAAATGTATAACCAGAGGATATACAGATAATCTTTTCATGAGTAAATGCTGGATTTGAATGAGCAGTACATTTTGGTCATAAAGGAGTGATTTAGGCTTCATAGAGTCCTTTCACTGAACTGCACCTTTGAGCTCTCTTCTTTTGGCAGACTCTGTCTAGAGGTCAGTCTCAGTTCAAGCGCTGACTGCAAAATGATGTGAACACATTTAGAAGTGCTCTGCATTTAATGGTATATCACTTCCTCATAAAGTGGCCCTGAATGAACACTGCACTGACCAAGCAAGAGCACAACTGAAGAGAAAGTCAGGATCTGCAGACACAACATGAAATCCTCTATTTTCAATATGCTTAAAACTCTGTATAGGTCACATTTTGATGATCAGACATCTTTAAAGTCTCTCACTCTCCAGTTAAGTCAACATGGATCGCTCATCCTCTACCGCCCTGCCATCGACATAAACAAATAATAGTTTGATCCATTCAGATCATCAAAAAGAGGATTTTCCTTTTAGCAATCACAAAAGAGTCCTAAGATTTATTTTTTTGTCCCCTCTACTCCAGGTTACTAACAGGATGTTATGTAAATAGAGCAGCAGCTGCTTTACACGTGTGTCAGTCTGGATGTGAAAGGTCTTCTGGGGAACTTAAACCTGCCTTTATATTGATAATGTTTGAGAGGAAGACCTCAAACCATCTTATTAAAAGTACCCGACATAACCAAGAAAAATAAAGAGAAATGGTTTAAACTTTTTGATATTGAGAGGTCTGATCAAAATTCACCTCCCAGCGCTGCTCTAGGGTCTGTGTTTCTTTGTGTCAATGATGAACACTAAAGGTCCTTACACACCAGGCGAGAATTCGCCAAGCGAATTATTCGCCTTTTTTTAAAACAGCATAAAGTCAATGCAAGCTTCCACACCGGCGGCGATTTTTCCGCGGGGCGAAAAGCCGCTTTTATTTTTTCGCTCTTGTGTCGAATTTTTCGGATATTCGCAGGCGAATATCTGGACCTGCTAGATCTCTGGCCAATCAAAAGTCATGTTGTTGATGACATCACAGACCCATACGGCTGGAGGAGAGGGAGAAGTTTGAGATTATGAAAACGCAGAGAAAGACAGCTGAGGTGCATCCAAAACTCTTTCGAATTACTAATGAAGTAGTTTTCTCACAAGATGACACTCTCTTGTCTTCCTTAGGAGACAGATGTCATGTGTCATGTCCGTGCCGCAAAGCGACTTTATTAATTCGCTTTGCAAAAAATATACGCATATTCGCTTCGCGGCCGGTGTGTATAGGCGAAAGCGATTTTTCGGACCGGCGAATATTCGCAATTTTCGTCTCACTTTTTCGCTTCGCTCCGCAAATTCGCCGGTGTGTAAGGACCTTTAGGCTGTGTTATTTAAGTTTTTTTAACAAACATTAGTAAGTCATTTTTGTAAAGTTCTGATTTTTTCATTTCACTCAGTTGAAATATTTTTGAGATTTTAGGTTTCATGATTCAGTCAGTCGCCGTTGACGATAATGACCTTAATTTTGACTCGTCGGTACATTATTAATCTGAGCGTTGCGTGCAAAGACAGTGGAGACCTGCCTGGCAGCAACACTTACCTTTGACTCTTTTTACTTCTCCTGAGGTTTGAAAAGCTCTGCTAACTATTCATTCTGCCTGAAGTAACGAGGCTTAGATAAATTTGATTTGGAAAGTGCTTTGAAGGGACGTCTTTTCATCCCTTTTTGACTGACTTGTGCTTGGAATGCCACAGAGGCAGAAACTGGGAAATAACCCTTTGAGATAAAGTGGAAAAAAACCCACCAAAGCCCAGATTTCTCTCTTTTAATTTGGGAGCAATTCATCTTGAGATGCCTGGTTTTCACAATCGAGTCAGTCATCTTTGGTTGAAAGGCTCGTCAATCAGTCACTGGTCAGTACATTGCCTTTGAACACTTCAAAATTCCTGTGTCTGGCAAAACATTGTCATTTTATGAGTGCAACTTCAATGTGATCCACTCATGTTTTTCAATCAGCGCAAAGAGTACCATCAATTTCACTAATGTACCCTACAAGGGCAAAAATGACATTGCACTAAGAAAACCTATGAAGTCAAATTACCCTTAGAGAATGTCGCCTACTGCACCCTTTCAGCTTCACGGTCTGAAAGGAAACGCTGTTATAGCTGACCCTTGAAAAATGCACTTCTGAAAATACTGATTGTGATACTGAAAAGGAAAAATCTAAACCAAACGGACGCGGCTTTTTTACAGAGGTTCAGTCGCCGTCTAATAAGCTGTTGGGATAAACTGCAGAAGCCATGTGCTCGGTCAGAGTCTCCTGTTTCCTGGCCTCCCTCCTTTACCATCTCTTCCCTCTCCATCCCTCTCAGCTATCTCCTCCTGTCTTTCTCTAAATCTGTTCAGCTCCGGTGGACTCTCTTCTTTAATCCTATCTGATGAGGACCCAAGCTGCCCCCCCCCGCCTTTCCCCAACTCACTCACTCCTTCCTTTGCTACCGCATGGAAGAATGTATGCTAATGCGGCCCGGCTGCAAAAATGGAAATTAGGATCTTGCTCTCCCACAGCAGCTAAAGACAATGCAGCTGTAAAGAGAAAAGTTGCAGCATTGTTCGACAGTGACAGGAAACAGGAAGATAAGAAGCCGTCAAATTTGATCAGCAATGAATTATGCAACACTGGCCTCCGAGATTAAGCATCATGTGATTTGATGGTTTTTAGCATCAAACAGGGCTGTCAGAAAGACTGTGTTTATGCACATTTGTATATGCGAGTGCGTGTGCTTATTCAGTAGATAAGATGTGGCCTCCATAATAGATAAAAAAACAAAGACAACAACTTACTTTTTGCATTCCTGATCTGGAGGAATAAAAAAAAACACAGAAAGTTAAGATACAGGCTGAACAAAGGCAGCTTGCAAACAGCTCCTCCAGGGAAACATTAGATGCAAACAGATAGAAACTCTTATCACAGATACCACTCCATCTGAGCAAGTGGTTTGGGGGGAAAGAGCTGCTAACAGGATTACGTCTTGCGTGTTCACCTTTACCGAGCAGACAGAAAGGCTTGATCGATATGTGACTAATGTGATCAGGAAAGGCTATCACCCCTCGTCTTGTGCTTTCAATGAAAGCCCATTAACCATGTGACTGCAGAGCTCCAGCCTCAGTTTGTCTCCTCTGCAAAACCCTCCTCCACGCTAACTTAAAGTATGCAGCACGCTCCTGAAATGGGATATCTATGATATCATCCGACACCTCTCAATTTGAAAATTTGAATCTATAGTGGAGCAGATATGAGAATCGGCCTCATTGCAAACAGATCAAGGCTTCCCTCTGTGAGAATACAGTGTTCTATCCTTGTGCGTTTTTCATTTACCTTCAGCCAAGGACTGCAGGTAGCATGAGCCGAGCATATCTCATTAAAATAGAGGAGAAAGGCTCTGCAGTGTCTATTGTGCTCAGTAATTCCGCAGTGATGTATTCCTCCCCCATCTTGCTAATGTAACAGCGTTTCACATCCTGAAACCACCCTTGCCTCTCCATTTTCTCCATCTCTGCCAGGGAAAAGAGCGTCTGATTTTCCCCCCAAAGTTAATGAAATTGTCACAGCACCTTATGAAATCGCCACCGTGTAAGCAATAACATCTGGCAAATAGATGGCGCATGTAATGTCTGCTGAGCCTCACTACACACCAGCCTATTAATGGGGAGACAGTCAGACACAGACAGACAGACAGACAGGCAGGAGCAGAGTGAAAAACATAATAAATGACGGAGAGACGGGAGGATGTCTGTGTAAAAGTGGAGAAATGAAATACTTAAAGAGTGTCACACTGAGGTTAGTTTCCCCAACCATAAATATCTGTTTTTTCTGACTCTTATCCTACTTTCTGGATTCAAGGATTCAGTTTTATGGCACATTTTAGGCTTTTTATGAGACCGCAGATAGTCAGAAACAGTAAAGAGAAACAGAGGCGGGTATGAGGTTTAGAGCAGGGAGTTAAACCTTGGTTTCTTTAAGGACCGCCGCCTCCAGGACAAAACTGTTCAGCCAAAAAGTTGTTGTTGTAGGACTCATTTTTGAATTGATGCTTTCCAAACTCGTGACTAATGCAGATAAGAATATATAAGCCTTGACAATACTCTCAACTTGTGTCTTCTAGGACCGAGCTGCAGATGACTGATGGCCTTGAAAGAACAACAGGTGGGCTGCATGCAATTACTCTTTATCGGTGGAAACCATAAGAGCTTCATAATGAAAAAGACTCCAACCATCATGAGCTGTACAGTCTGAACTACAGCTGAATGTGGGGTTGTTTTGTGAAGATGTTAGTGAATATCTTTCCTGAATCATCTCAGCATCTGTTTACAGCTGTGACCAAAAGTTTTGAGAATGACACAAATGTTAATTTTGCTGCCTGGAACTTAGTAAGAATAACAGACTGGATGCTTTAAAAGGAGGGTGGTGCTCGAAATCATTGTTCTTCCTCTGTTGACCATGGTTACCTGCAAGGAAACACATCCAATCATCATTGCTGTGCACAAAAAGGGCATCACGAGGAAGGATATTGCTGCTAGTAAGATTGCACCTAAAACATCATTTGTCAGATCATCAAGAACTTCAAGGAGAGAGGTTCAGTTCTTGTGGAGAAGGCCTCAGGGTGCCTGAGAATGTCAAGCAAGCGCCAGGACTGTCTCCTAAAGTTGATTCAGCTGCAGGATCGCGGGCACCGCCAGTGCAGAGCTTGCTCAGGACTGGCAGCAAGCAGGTTTGAGTGCATCTGCACGCACAGTCAGGCGAAGACTTGTAGAAGAGGGCCTGGTGTCAAGAAGGGCAGCAAAGAAGCCACTCCTCTCCAGAAAAAAACATCAGGGACAGACTGATATTCTGCAAAAGTACAGGGATTGGACTGCTGAGGACTGGGGTAAAATCATTTTCTCTGATGAATTCCCTTCCTAATTGTTCGGGGCATCTGGAAAAAAGAGAAGAAAAGGCCCTGTGGCCCCACCATCAGCCCTGTGTCATGCCAACAGTAATGCATCTTGAGACTGTTCATGCATGGGGTTGTTTCTCAGTCAAGAACACAGCCATGAATGAAGAATGGTACCAAAACATCCAACTTCTCCCAACCATCTGAGATCAGTGTGGTGACGAACAATGCCTTCTCCAGCATGATGGAGGCAAAAGTGCTTACTAAGTGGCTTGAGGGAAAAAAAACCTACAAATTTTGGGTCTATGGCCAGGAACCTCCCCAGACCTTAATCCCATAGAGCAGTGTTTCTCAAGTCCAGTCCTCGAGGCCCACTGTCCTGCATGTTTTGGATGTTTCCCTGCTCCAACACACCTGATTCAAATGATCAGCTCGTTATCAAGCTCTGTAATGGCTCAATAACGAGCTGATCATTTGAATCAGGTGTGTTGGAGCAGGGAAACATCCAAAACACGCAGGACAGTGGGCCTCAAGGACTCGACTTGAGAACCACTGCCATAGATAACTTGTGGTCAATCCTCAAGACATGGATGGACAAACAAAAACTTACAAATTGACACTTATGAAATGCTTGTAATTATACTTCAGTATAACACAGAAACATCTGACAAAAAGGTCTAAAAACACTGAAGCAGCGGACTTTGTGAAAATTAATATTTGTGTCAGTCTCACTTTTGGCCAGGGCTGTACATCTATTTCTATGACGTCCAAACATCTACATTCTGAACTCCTCAATTAAAACCAGAAGACTTCAGTTTCAGTCTGTATTCTGGTGTGTCTCAGCTCTCAGGTTTTATGGTCAGCATGAAGTGGAAGAGTAAAAACTAAAGGTGAAAGGTCAGGAAACATAAGCTAGTCCTTCGAGAACATCTTATCTGCTGTATAGTAATCTAGTGTGTGTTGTTGTGTGTGTGTGTGTGTGTGTGTTCCCAGTTACTGCATCACACTGAGCAGATCGGAGAGTTCTCAGCTCCTCGCCTGTCCTGGCAGGCGTCTGACAGTTACTGCTGGCTGCCCTCCCAACCTGCCCTTCCAGCAGGACTCCAGCTGGCCCGCTGCTGCCGCCGTCACCTCCGCCTCTCTGCCACCGCCGGCATCATCACCAGGGAGGCCGGCTGAGTGAAGACGGGTGTAAGGGGGGAGAGAGGGAGAAGACGGGAGCTGCCAGCTCGCACCATCCTCGTCCGCTCACTGAGATGTTAAATCAGTTGTCGGCTCCTCCGTCTCTCGTCGCTGGCTCGCCCATTTGTATGCAGACGGTGAGTGTAATTCATTGCAAACCACCTCTTTTACTCATTCTGTCATCCAGGGGCGCACTCCCGTCACATCTGCAGCCCCACACTGGTTTGAGAACCACTTATGATAACAACAGAACAATCAAGGAACGCTTGTAGGAGAGAAACACACGCGAGTGTCAATGCGGTCAGCTTCCTATAGCGAGAGCGATGCTGCCTCCGCTCTTTAATGAAGCGCAGTCTGAGCGGGCTTTAATCAACCTGAGCGTAGGAGGAGGGGTACCGATGTGATTATCTATTTATTAAGCAGACCTCCTTGTGTTCTTTGGCACCTGCATGTCCCATTAGAAGTGTTGGGTCAGCAGTGCTGAGGGCAGCACATTGAACCTGCGTCACAACATAATTAGGCCCCCACTCCACATAACAGTTCTGCTTGGCTCTGCTCTCAGGAGACACACTATCATGTCGACACACACAAACCCCGGACAGCCGACCCCATCAGACGCACACTGAAGAGTGAAGCGCAGTCTTACACATCCCCAAACAAGCGTGTTTTTCTGTCCAGGAATGAAGACTTACACCTTCATTTTACAACAATAAATACAGCAATTAACCCCGAAACATAAAGATTCAGTGCTTTACAATAAAAAAAGCAGCTCACACATAAAACAGAGTGGGAATAAAAACCATTCAAATATCTCATGGAAAGAAAAAAACTATTGAGTTTATTAAACAGGACTGACAAGATACTTGACTGCTTTATTTCCTGTGTATTATGGAGCTGAATGGAACAGTTAAAAGAGCATAAAAAAGTATGGACATTTAATTGAGTAGTAACTCAAAGAGGCACAACGTTACATTTGGATTAAAAAAAAAATCATGAAATCTCAATCAGCCCAATCAGCCTCTTCACAGACTGTCTGCTGCCGCCGCCGCTTCGTCTCTCCTCAGTTTTATGACGTGAGGAAACCAGTGAAAATGATCTCAACTATGAACTCACAGTTTTACCCCAAAGAAAAGCAATGAAGGATGATGGGCAAGAAATAAGAATTGATTAAGCAGCAGAAGACTGGAAATGACTGTAATGAGTTATCTTAGGATATTACACTCCAGTACTGGAGGGAATTTGCAGGATGTGAGCATGAAGCAGCAGACCCTCCTATATTACATCTCACAAGTATAGTAAGTGTTTCCTTTAGTAAGGTCCAGTTACGGGAGAACAAAAAGCAAACTTAACACAATTTTTTATAGTATTCAGTAAAATAAGTGTTACAGAAATAGCATGTAATGATCTTTGAATTAATTAAACAAATGAAACCAGGAGATTACTCAGGAATCAGTTAACACTGCTGACATGCAACCTTTTAATATGCAGCACAGCACAGTGACCTGAACTAAGGTTGTGGTTGTACATATTGATCGGAGCTGAAAGAATTGACATAAGCCCCTTTTACACATAAACTCCTACATTTTCTGCATAACTAGGACGTTTAGATGAGGAGGAGTTATTTTCGATGCGATGAAAACACAAGGATTTTTAAATTTTATTTCTATGTTACTTTGTTTACAAAAAAATGTGCTGAATAGACATACAAGCATAGATTGAATGGTAACGCTTTCTTTTACGGTACGCTTATTACCAGCTAATTAACAGGTAATTACCTAATAACAACATTTATCTGGTAGTTCCATGATTATTACTAAGTCAAAACTGTCTAGTTCTTTTTTTTCTGTGCAGTTCATTTTCAAAAGCTATTTGGGGTTCTTATTTTCTATAATTGACACTTGATACAGCCTATGGGCGTGCAGCGATTGCGTAGCGCTGTTTGAGCCGAGCATTATCACAGTGACTCACCCGTCGAATGCGTACAATGCTACTGCGCAAGTGGTGGTTCCAGGAAGCGGAGAAAATCCTGGAAATACCAGAGCAATTCGGCTTCAAATTTGTATGATGATGGAAGGTTACTTACCTGGTAGCTAGACAGTATTGACTTAGTAGTTATCATGTAATTACCAGATAATTTCATGTTGTTACTATGTAATTACCCGTTAATTACCTGGTAATAAGTGTACCGTAAAAGAAAGGGTTACCGATTAAATTTCTCATAATTCATCGCCAGGTAAGGAAATGCAGAATGAAACAAAACAAAGATGTTAAGCGGTATTCAATTCATTTTTCTGTACGAGATTGCCATATATTGCAAAACTCTTAGTTTCTGCCTCAAAAAGGTCAGTTTTATCCTTATTTCTGACAACTGAGGTGAGCAGTTTGAGTAAAACGAAAGATAATCTCAACTCAATGTGAATGTTGCCATCGCTCTGCGCTGCAGATGTGGATCCTTAATTTTTTATCAATACTGATTCATTTATCGAGACGCTCATGAATTAAGTCCTCATCATTCCATTAATGAGTCTTTTCTATCCTTGTTTTCCTTCAAAATGTTGTTTTTCAGCCCTCATTCTCTCTTTTTTTCGACATGACATTTGAACACATCATGATAACGTATTATCTACTTTCGCCTCATCCTCGTTCTCCCGACGTGACCTGGAACGCCTCGCAGAGCAATCGACTCGCTCAAAAGTGTAAAGTCTGACATCTTTCTCACATTTTATTCGGAGACTGGCAGGACAAGTTCAGATAAAGTCGGGTGATGTACGTGTTCACAAGCTAGTTATTGTCAGAAAATATTTGGTTTTGTGTTTGTGTGAAAAAGAGACCGAACAAAACTGGAGAAGGCATTAAATATATGAATACATAAATGCACTTCTCCTGCAGTAAAATAATCTACAAAAAGAGAAAAATACACCCATTATAAACACAAATAATGTCAACGACAGGCAATACTAAAAAGTGGCCTCTTAAAGTGACTAGAAAACTCGTGTAATTACACATTCTGCACTTGCATTTAAAGGCCACGCTGTGTTCATTTTCCTTCTATCTACCCAGCTATTTCCGTCTCATGCTCACTTGAGTAAAGGTACATGTCAGGTTATTAGCGACTGTTGTGTTAAAAGAGATCAAAGAATCAAAGTAATCTGGTTCTAATTAGTCCCACTTGATAATGGGAAGACTGTCAAAATGCCAAATCCCATACTGTGACAACTTCTGCATTTATATCCCCTTTTATGTTTCGCTGCCTGTTCTTGTTTTACATCTATTAGCAACATACATCGACAGCGTTGGATACCAGCCCGGCAATTAAGCGACAGCCAAGAAATGTGATGAATGATGATAGGAAATAAGCACGTACTTAAAGAGGGAAGATGGAGATGATTGAAATCTTCCATCTTCCAAATCCTCCCACAATTTTAGGTAATTTTAGTTTACCTCCGCAATACCCATGTTGCGTGGTATCCATACAAGCTATCCCTCATCCTCTTTTTCTTTGCAAGATTAGATCTAATTTTTTAATGAGCTCTGCAGGAAGATTGGTATCTGGAGAGCTCACAAAATCTGCAGGGAAGTGAGAATTCACCCACTGCTTTAAACCAACTTTCATTATTATGAAAATGATGCCTCTGTTGCTTGGACACAGTAATAGAAGCCTCAGCAGGCACACCAAAAAGAAAGAATGAAAGGAGGTTTTATTCTTGCTAGATTAAATATCTCGGTCTTTTTTGTGTCAGCTGTCCACAAAAAGCCGGTCAAATCCCAGGTGTTGCTTGGGATGAAGATTTAAGTCTCCAGACAGGGAAAAAGGAGGCTGTGCGGTGAGGTTTCAGCAGCCTTGGTGGAGCGGTCCTCTCTCACTGCAGAACTGTACAACATCATGAATATTTGAAATGTTGGCAGAGAATGTTAAAGTGGGCTCATATCACTCCCCCCCCAAAAGCCCACTTAACCAAAGGATGAATAAAATAGATCTTGAAAGGCCAACAAACTCAGCCAGACATCCTCACTGTATGAAAAAAGCATGAAAATGAGAATTTCTGTTCAATTATTTACCACAAACTCACAAGTTCAGGTTTAACCATGTTATTATGTTAATAAATAATTCTTAACCATCTATTTGAAGTTACAAACACACAGATTGATATTACAAGACTTTGATCAACAGCATTAATGAGCTGTAGAGCTCATTAACAGTGAACAAAGTTTTCTCTAATCAGTCTAAGGAACAGTCAAGATAGCTGGAAGAGCTGGGGACGAATGCATATCCATCACCTGCCAGGAAGTAAGCGGGATCTAACTCCTTAATATTTCTTGACTTATTGCAAAGAGCTCTGTCTTTTTGGATGTGTTTTAGCTTCTGCTGTCATGCCACTCCTGCAGCAATATTTATTGATGTTCAGCCAAGACAAGCTCAGTTTGTATGAATCTATCGACTTCTATTGATCCCATAGCCATGCTTCTTTGTTCACATAGATGCATGAAAGTACCAGCTCTTTTGCCTTTCTTAGATGTGGAGATATGCTACGCCTTTAGGTCTTGTTTTGGTTTTGCATCTTAGGACTTTGATTCTTTTTTTTATTACTTATCAGCATCACTAAAGCAAACGTTTTAATAAGACCATTCTTTATCCACCTTGCTCTGAAATAGTTGACTGAAGGTAATGAGGTGAGCAAAGGAAAGTGCAAAAACTAGAAATTTTGGTAAAATGTTGGCTCAACATTCACTAATCAAACTCTAGCCCCATTCACGCAGGATTATTACCACCTCAGGACCTCTGATCATTTGTAACAGTCGTGGAGGACACCTGTGTTTTTAATCCTTTGCAAATTAATAATGTCTGTGATTTGTGAAGAAACAATTTTAGGGCAAATTACCTACCATGTCTCAGGACACCCAGAGGTCCCATGATGATATTAATTTAGTCTGTATTGACATTTTTGTAATTAAGGAAGGCCGATTTGTTGTAAGGTTTTTACTGCCTTTTTTTCCAGTTGAAAGAGATTTTGCAAATGAGGGTTTGGACAGAATTCTGGCTGCAAAATTACAGAGAAATTTCTCCAACTTACTGCAATGATGATCAGTGAATATTATAATATAAAATATAATATATATATATTAATATTATTCGATGTGCCGTAACATAATGACAACAAATAAAACATACAGGGAAATGTTATGAGAGCTCTTTAGCCCTGTATGTCTGAAAATCGATGGTTATCCTTCAAACAGATCAATGGCCTTTGTAAGCAAAGTCGCCTTTGAAACACGAGGTGCACCACTTCACCTTTTTTGTTCAGAGCTTTTTTTATAGGTTGTTGCTTGGAAACCAAATCACTCACACAGACAGAAACCAATATCTCCGACTGCTGATCATAAAGGAGAAAGATTCAGGAGCTGAGCTCAAAACGAACTATTTACATATGATAAAGCTTACAGAATGTACATGACATGAAGTCGTTAATTTTAAACCATACGTCCCAAAGTTTTTTCACACAAAAACATCATGAAAGTTTACAGGACGTCTTTTTATTTAACTTTCAGTTGGCATGTAGCTGTAGGAGAGTTTTGCCAACAGAAATAAGGTGTTAGCATTACTCTTTATAAATGTTGGCATATTTGAATAAGTTACATACTCTCCTTACGCTGCGTGAATCTGCCGCACTTGACGCTAATGTTGGGATAGTTAACAAATTGTCTGAAGTCCCCTCCCACTGCGCAATGTGACATCGAAATGACATCTATTTAACATATATTTTCGACGATGAGGTACAAATGTGGATGTCATTTCAACGTCTAAAAGAGGTCCAAATAATGACGTCTAATTCTTGGATCCATTTTGCACGTTGTAGCGACATCTAGATTTGGTCTTCAGATGACGTCCAAATTTTAAATGTCAGAGCAATGCCTAAAAAGGGTCCAATTTGGACGTCGAAATTTCGAACCTATTTTGCACATCACACGTCGACATCTAGATGTGGTCTTTGACGGACCAACCCAATACTGACTTGATCTGCATGTCTCTT